GAGCTACGGCGACGGAGCGTGCGTATACTCGCGATAGGCCTCCGCTCATAACATATGAGCTACGGCGACCGGCGACCTTCCGTTCTTTATGGCGCTGTCATAAGCGCGTACGGCACGCTCCCGACCCGGAATTTCCAAAACGCTCCGGACAACCGGACAGCGAACTCGGGATAGGCCTCCGCTCATAACATATGAGCTACGGCGACGGAGCGTGCGTATACTCGTAGTACACCCGTGTGGGAGTCGAACCCAGAAGTGCAAGGGATGCACCCAGCCGTGCGGGCGTGTCGTCGGACGGCTAGAGAGCCGTGCAACGCTGGCATTTAACGCCATCCAGTGGCGAGGCAGACGAACTGTTTTACGTGTCAGGTGGTGTTGGCTGCGGAGTGTTGTGGCACACCTGCATATTAACCCTCGGATCTTTCCCCAATTCTCTGGCACTTTGCCGCTGGGCAATATCTTCGCTCTTACTTGGTTAACCATTGGGCACTTGCCTATCTTTAATTGGGCGCTGGCCCACCTTTAAGCGGGCACTTGCCTGTCTTCATCACGCGTGATACTGGATTATAGCGCTCTTGCTATAATCGTGACACTTGTCACTGGTAGACCCACTTGGGTTACGATTGCACCGATTGGTGATAATTCGCGTTGACGACTATATCTTCGGACCGTACAGACTTCTGTACGGGTCGTCCTAACGCAGAGGCATTTAGCCTCTTCTCATTCACTAATCGGTAGTTTTCACTACCACCTAAACAGTGGAGGTGGATACAACAAGTGGTATCGAGCACACATGGCCGCAGCCGCAAAATTAACAAGGGGCGCCGACGAGGCAGCACCACTGTCACCTGAATCCTTAGAAGACGCGCGCCAAGGAATCGAGTACCGAACAGTACCCTTTGACAAACGCAAAATATTGTTCTGAAAATCCAGGGATGCAGAGTGCTTACGCAAAGTATCAGACCCCAGAATAAAAGGAGCAGCATCAGTCAAGGACGGCAAAACGTATGGCGAGACGGTTAGGTACAAAGACCCGACTGCCACGCGAAACGACACCTGACCCACGATTGCTTGCCTACCTCCGTCAGCGAGCGAAACATGGGACCAGTCCGAAGAGCGGACCGGGAGGTGTAGCCGTTGGACAAGGGACTCACTAATAAAGTCGTGAGTAGCGCCTGTGTCCACCAATGCCGAAAACGTTTGGCCACCAGTCCGCAGAGACACCAGAGGCAAAGCAACTCGTGTGTCCACAGAACCGGAGGCAACTGCGCAAAGAGAGGAAGCAAAGGGCTCCCGGGCAACAGAGAGGCAAGGTGAAGGTGCATCGTACCACAACTCAGCAGGGTACGGAATACCAGGAAGCTCTACTGTTTTACCCTCAAGCGAAAGGCCGTTGAAAAGGATGGACTTCGCAGGAAACGTAAGCACTCGGTGCATACCTGCTAGCAACGTCGAAGCCCGCCGAGCGATATGCGAAGGTAGCAAAATGCCGGCCGCGGTGTCAGGACGGCGGTGCTTGCATGCAAGGTAGTGCCGAAGCGAAACGCGCAATTGAGTGAGGGATGCAGGGACAAAAAGCACAGTATGACCACCAACATCGACCGAGCAGAGAGAGCGACCACGAGGAACCGTTATGTTACATTCCGAGTCAAAGCCCGGTTTGACAGCAACGGCGTCAAAAGAAAAACGGCGTCCAACGGCACTCTCAAACTCTGCCAACGCAGCGGGTCTAACCGCGCGGACCAAAGAACGAATCCCCGCAAAAGGAAGCTCAGGGTAATATCCCTCAATACCGCCCTGAGCAAATTCCTAGCACAGCCCCGCTTCACGCAACCTTTTGAGAGCGGGACAGTTGTCGTAGAGGTGGTCGGGACTAACCACCTCACAACAAAAACAGACGGCCTTACCGCCCGCGCGCTGTCAGAGAATTCCCACCTCCCCGTGCGTCAACCTACGGCCGAACTGGTTGACCCACTTGGTCAACTCGCAAGCTTTCGCCAACGGAGTGGCGGATTCTCCGCCAGCGGGTGCACTGGGACGGCCAGTGCCGCGACCCCTATCCCCGCGCCCGCCACGCGAACCTGTTCTACCCCCATGACTATTACGCCCAGGACCGCTTCCGCGTCCGGTCTGCCTAGGGGCCCCAGCAACAGCTGCAGCGAGACGAGGACCGGGGCCCACGCGCGCCCGCTTGACTGGAGGCCCATCTTCCTCATAATCCTGCAAAACAGCAGAATTAGAACGAAGAGCAGAGCGAACTTTTCGTTCAGACAGGGCGCGCACTTCCTGGCCCAAGGCATGCTGTACCAGGGCGTCGTAAGAGGGAAACGGCTTTCCATAGACGTCTGTGGCGCAATGGGGCTGCAGGGAAGAAGAAAGGCCTTCGAAAAACCAAAACATACGCTCACTAGG